TCCTGGTTGCTGTTGGGAGTTGCGGAGGAGCTGAACAGGGTGGAGCACCAGTTCTGGTTCCAAAAAGAAGCACTGACTTATGGGATCACATTGTTATTGTAAGCACTGGCTACAATGCCAAGCACAAGGCCAGTTTTCTGGAACTATGCAAGGAGCTCGCCCCCATCACAGTAACATTAAAACGTGAATTCCACTGACAGCAGAGAAATGAGTGGTAACCGCTCTGTGCAAGCTTGTGACACCAGACTGTTATTAGATTTGTTAATTACTTTGGGATATGCTCATTTATTACGGTTATTCATCTAGGGGAGAGGAGTGATAATTCTATCAATGTGCTGTTTATGTTACTAGTGTTCTCATATGGAGCTCTACTTCTCTCTTCTGCCAATTCCCTCCCAACTGAGCTATCCGGCAGAATCTAAGTTTTGCAGGGTTGAATTCTTCCCACCCTAGAATCAGATACACACACAGCCACTAACAGAGCATGTCTGAGAGGAGCAGTTAATCAGCACTCACAAGCTGACCCCTTATATGTCCCTGGACTCAGCAGGATGGGTTGCACAGCAATGCCAAACTGTGACCCTGAAGTGCTCTTGGACTCAGTAGGCTGGGTTTAAACAACACTTTAAGCTGCCACTTCCATAGGCTTCCAGGTTCAGCACCTCCCTATTCCCACTTTCACACCACAACTGATTTGTTAGTAACCTACTTGATAGGGTTGCCAGGGGTCTGGTTTTTGCCCAGACTGTCTGTTATTTGGGTCCCCCGTCCGGTGGAAAAAAAACAGAAAATACTGGACATTGGAAATGTCCGGTATTTCCTGTCTCCCTCGGATGGAAGCCCAGTGGGGACAATTTTCCCCTGCTCAACAACTTTCGTCTCCTTTTTTTTCCTCAACAGAATTTTTTCCCGGTGTTTTTTTGTTGGGGGGAGGGGGGTGCAGTAGAGAAGGACAACAAAGTTTCATGGATAATAAGTCCATCCATGGGTATCAGACAAGATGGTCAGGTATACAGTCTCATGTTCTGGACATCACTAGAACTCTGAATGCCAGAAGCTGGGACTAGACAACAGGAGAGGGATCATACAATACATTGCCATGTTTTATTCATTCCTCTGAAGCATCTGGCACTAGCCATTGTTGGAAGACAGGATACAAAGCTAAATGAACTATTGATCTGACCCAATGTGGCCATTCTGATGTTAAATATTTAAAGAGGAAAATGCCTATTTTACTCCAAATAGACTACACTTATTAAAAGTAGATCATTTCCTTACCTTAAAGCTTCTGTCTTCAGAGACAGATATAAGCATATTTCTCTCCCAGGTGCAAAACTCAGCTGCAGTTACTGGAGCCAGATGACCTTCCAACTCAGCTAATATAGCCTCATTCTGTGATTAGTTGGACAAGAAAGAAAAGTAGATAAAACTTCTAATAAAATTTTAATTTGTTCTGATTTTAAGTAATTAAAAAAAAAACACTAAAAAATGTCAAACGGGGGCACTTTATACTATTCACTTACACCTATTTTCTTATCCCCAATTGTATTGCATACATCACAGCAAAAGTCACTGTCTATTGCAGTGTTTCTCAAACTGTGCTCCGCGGAGCCATCTCCAGGGGCTCTGCGAGGTTGACAAACTGGAAACATTGATGGGTACAACACATACAATCAGTGGACCGCTGGGGCTCCGCATAAATTTTTACACATATTAAGGGGTCCAGAGCCCAAAAAGTTTGAGAACCGCTGGTCTATTGTATTCCCTTCTCCAAATATAATAATGAATAAAAAATGCTTTCAGGTTCATCGATAAATTTCTATGTTATTATCCTCAATGGATTTATAGACTATTATTATTTGTGCTAATGTTTTCCCCAGTAATGAGAATAAACAAACATGCTTGTAATTTTTTTTAATTCTTCCTTCCTCCCATCCCTCTCCCCCAACTGCCCTGACTAATCAAAGGCTTATACCATATTATATTTTTCCTAAGGATGTTAAGAAGCAGGTAATTAACTAATCGTGTAACGGGTCCCAGACTGCTGTGGCACTGCTTTTTAAATATAGTAAGAGCCATCAGGTCTCCCATTACAGCTCTGTCTCCCCAGCCCCCCTGCTCCATGCACCACAGAAAACAACTCTTGCTTCCCCGCCCCCCTTGCTTTCTCTAATACAGAGGCAACGGGGGGAATGAGTAGTCAAGTAGTGACTCGACTACCCAATAAGCCTAAGGTTATTGGGTAATTGACTACTCGAGTAGTTGCTTACATCCCTAATTTCTCCTGACACTAATTCTTCTCTCAGAGTCATGTAATAATTGTTTACAATTTTTCCAGTGTTAATCTATGTCACAACAAAAAGAGGCATTGGCTTGAACACCATTAAATTTTATTGAGTTCTATTTTGCACTTAAATGGATTCAACCTCTTTTTTGCATGATAAATTTGATGTATCCTGTACAAATGTACCACTTACAGAATATTTTTCTGAGAATTTACAAATAAATCTATTCATATGAATTAAAACTACTTAAAAATTGATTCTTTAAGAACTGAAGCATCTGAGTTAGTCTTTTCTTTATCAAAAAATATCTTAACAAGGGAATAAAACAACCCTTGAAAATTAATTGAAAATTTGCATATTTGAAGTCAGGCTGTAATTAAACAAAATTATTAACAACTGTACCAAACTGGTGCAATTAAAGAGGCTACACAAACTCAAATAACTCTTAAAAGAGGCCACTATGACACAAAGATTACTTCAACCAATCTCCACTTCCTATACAACTAGTTTGCATGTAACAATTATATTGATTCTAGAACAGTGGTGGGCAATAACCAGCATGCATGCTGGATGCAGTTATCCTCTGGTGGGCCACCACTGCTGCATTTACCTGTATTTACCTGCGCCTTCACAGGTACAGGTGCTTCCAACTTCTGTTGGCCATGGATCATTGTTCCCAGCCAATGGTAGCTATGGGAAATGATGTCCCAATCCATGCCACTTCCCGAACCTCCCAATAGCCATGAAGGGCTATCTGCAGCTGACAAAAGTAGCCAGTTCCTATACCTGCAGAGGCGAAGGTAAATAAAGTGTTGTCTGCCTGCCAAAAGCTAAGCCTGGTGAATTGCCACCATCATATTGCCCACCCCTGTTCTGGAGGAAGACTGGATGTGTGTCAGCAATTCTTACTGACCAGTGATAGTTGGGCAGCATGCTAGTTTAGTCATAAGTGTTTGAAAGGTTCCTATGGCACCATTGCTTCAACTGCACTGATCCACTCTAGTTACTTTGGTGTAACTCAAATTAAAAAAAATTAAGACTGACACTATTTAGCCTCAGATCCATAGAAATACTGAATGAGACCATTTTCCTTTGGTTTTTCATGTAGTGTTTGTGTATGAAACTTTTAGTAATTAAAATAATAAAGCAATTCCTACATAAAAAGTTATGATTGAGAATAAATATGAGCAACTGTGGAGTAAAAAAACATTATAAAGATGTTGTAATTATCTGAAAACCAAGCATTATAAGCCAGGCAAATTCAGAGTTAAGGTTACACTTAGTGTAAGCAGGAAGCCCCATGGCCTACTTTTACAAGGTCCAGATAGTCCAATGGTTAAGGTGCTAGCCAGGAACTCAAGAGACCCAGTTCAATTTCATACTCACCAGGCTTTAAGTCAGGAGGAGAGGATGGAAGAGGATAAAGTATGGGCCAGATCAGATGAAAAACATTCACATAAAAAATAATCTGACACATTAAAAAAAGGACAGACAAATAAACAGCTAAAAGTTTTTAAAGTGCTTGTACACAAATGCTAGAAGTCTAAAAAATAAGATGGGTGAAATAGAATGCCTCGTGTTAAAGGCGGATACTGATATAATAGGCATCACAGAAACCTGGTGGAGCAAGGACAATCAATGGGACACAATAATTCCGGGGTACAAAATATATCGGAAGGACAGAACAGGTCATGCGGGTGAGGGAGTGGCACTATATGTGAAAGAAAATTTAGAATCAAATGAAGTAAAAATCTTAAATGAATCAACATGTTCCATAGAATCTCTATGGATAGTAATTCCCTGCTCAAATGAGAATATAACAGTAGGGATCTATTATCAACCACCTGACCAGGACAGTAACAGTGACTATGAAATGCCAAGGGAGATTAGAGAGGCTATCAAAATAAAGAACTCAATAATAGTGACGGATTTCAACTATCCCCATACTGACTGGGTACATGTCACCTCCGGATGAGATGCAGAGACAAAATTTCTTGATACCTTAAACGACAGCTTCTTGAAGCAGCTGATACAGGAACCCAGAAGGAGAGAGGCTATTCTTGAGTTAGTCCCAAATGGAGCACAGGATCTGGTCTAAGAGGTAACTATAACAGGACTGCTTGGAAATAGTGACCATAATATAATAACATTTAACATTTCTGTGGTGGGAAGAACACCTCAGCAGTCCAACACTGTGGCATTTAATTTAAAAAAGGGGAACTATGCAAAAATGAGGAGGTTAGTTAAACAGAAATTAAAAGGTACAGTGACTAAAGTAAAATCCCTGCAAGCTGCATTGACACTTTTCAAAGACACCATAATAGAGGTCCAATTTAAATGTATACCCCCAAATTAAAAAACATAGTAGAAGAACTAAAGAGACACAATGGCTTAATAACCATGTAAGCAGTGGGAGATAAAAATACATCTTTTAAAAAGTGGAAGTCAAATCCTAGTGAGGTAAATAGAAAGGAGCATAAACACTGCCAAATTAAGTGTAAAAATGTAATAAGAAAAGCCAAAAAGGAGTTTGAAGAACAGCTAGCCAAAAACTCAAAAGGTAATAATAAAATGTTTGTTAAGTACATCAGAAGCAGGAAGCCTGCTAAACAACCAGTGGGGCCCCTGGATGATCGAGATACAAAAGCAGCACTTAAAGCAATAAAGTCACTGAGGAGAAACTAAATGAATTCTTTGCTTCAGTCTTCACAGCTGAAAATGTTAGGGAGATTCCCAAACTTGACCCATCCTTTGTAGGTGACAAATCTGAGGACTTGTCACAGATTGAAGTGTCATTAGAGGAAGTTTTGGAATTAATTGATAAACTTAACAGTAACAAGTCACCGGGACCAGATGGCATTCACCCAAGAGTTCTGAAAGAACTCAAATGTGAAATTGTGGACCTATTAACTATGGTTTGTAACCTATCCTTTAAATCAGCTTCTGTACCCAATGACTGGAAGATAGCTAATGTAATGCCAATATTTAAAAAGGGCTCTAGAGGCGATCCTGGCAATTACAGACTGATAAATCTAACTTCAATACTGGGCAAATTAGTTGAAACAATAGTAAAGAATAAAATTGTCAGACACATAGAAGAACATAATTTGTTGGGCAAAAGTCAACATGGTTTCTGTAAAGGGAAATCATGTCTTACTAATTTATTAGAGTTCTTTGAAGGGGTCAACAAACATGTGGACAAGGGGGATCCAATAGATATAGTGTACTTAGATTTCCAGAAAGCCTTCGACAAGGTCCCTCACCAAAGGGTCTTATGTAAATTAAGATGTCATCGGATAAGAGGGAAGATCCTTTCATGGACTGAGAACTGGCTAAAAGACAGGAAACAAAGGGAAGGAATAAATGGTAAATTTTCAAAATGGAGAGGGGTAGCTAGTGGTGTTCCCCAAGGGTCAGTCCTAGGACCAATCCTATTCAACTTATTCATAAATGATCTGGAGAAAGGGGTAAACAGTAAGGTGGCAAAGTTTTCAGGTGATACTAAACTGCTCAAGGTAGTTAAGACCAAAGCAGACTATGAAGAACTTCAAAAAGATCTCACAAAACTAAGTGATTGGGCAACAAAATGGCAAATGAAATGTAATGTGAATAAATGTAAAATAATGCATGTTGGAAAAAATAACCCCAACTATACATATAATATGATGGGGGCTAATTTAGCTATAATTAATCAGGAAAGAGATCTTGGAGTCATCATGGATAGTTCTCTGAAGACGTCTACGCAGTGTACAGCAGCAGTCAAAGAAGCAAACAGGATGTTAGGAATCATTAAAAAAGGGATAGAGAATAAGATGGAGAATATCTTATTGCCCTTATATAAATCCATGATACGCCCACATCTGGAATACTGTTTACAGATATGGTTTCCTCATCTCAAAAAAGATATATTGGCATTAGAAAAGGTTCAGAGAAGGGCAACTAAAATGATTAGGGGTTTGAAACGGGTCCCATATGAGGAGAGATTAAGGAGACTAGAACTTTTCATCTTGGGAAAAAAGGAGACTAAGGGGGGATATGATAGAGGAATATAAAATCATGAGTGGTGTGGAGAAAGTGAATAAGGCTTAGCCAGGAGAGGCATAGGATCTTGCACAAAAGGGGGGGTCTGCAAAAAATGAAAGTGGCTATACTGCTTCTTTTTGCGCAAAAAACCCTTGCACAAAAGGAATTGGCAGAAAATAAGATAATGACATCGTAGCACCTTAGAGACTAACAAATTATATATAATCATGAGCTTTTGTGTGCAAAACCCATGTCTCTCATCCGAGAATGTGGATTTTGTCCACGAAAGCTCATGATACTATATATATATTTCTGTTAGTCTCTAAGGTGCTATAGAACTACATATTGTTTTTTTAAAAGTTACAGACTAACAAGGCTACCCATCTGAGACTGAATTTCCTTATTTTATAATGCTTAATTTGGGAATAGTTACAACATCCCTGTAATGTTTTCTCCCTTAAGTTACTGATACATACTCTGAACCATGACTTCATTTGAACATTGTCTTTTGTCTGGGATATAATAATAATAATATCATGCCTTAGACCATGTCAATTTTCATCTATGACCAGATGAACATTTTTGCTCAATAACTATTAGTCTTCTGAAAAGCATGTTGTTATTAATTAGTATGTTTTAATTTTAAAGTGAACATCTGTTTAGAATCTTTAAGAACTATTTTCAAGAGAAAAGACAACTCACCTTTGCACTTAACATATATATACGATTTCCAGCACATACTGCCACAGCCTGGTCATCTGGACTAAATCGTACATAAAGCACCATCCCCAGAAGAGTCCCTATAACAATTCCTCGGGGCATTAACCCTATAGTAATTTTAAAAGATTACTAGTGGGTCATGAAAAAAAATTCAGAACACTTCTATACAGTATAACATTTAAAGCATAACTATAAATGTAGTAAATGAATGCTACTACAGAGAAGTTAATAGCCCTTCAAAAGTTAAGAATGTGATGAGCTTTTCGTTTAAAGCAAGACTTCATTCCCTTTATTTTACTCTTTAATTACTGACTTTCATCTCCCAATTAATAATTAACATTCAGGAGATAACTTCATGGGAACATACTGCAGAAGTTTCTCAATTTTCTACTTAAACGTTTAAGCCATCAAGTTTTTAAATGTATCCCAAAATAGCTTGCATTGACACTGAAAAACCTAAAAAAAAAACAAATAGACTAGTAGCACCTTAAAAACTAACAAAACATGTAGATGGTATCATGAGCTTTACTGGGTACAGCCCACTTCTTCAGATGACAGGAGTGTTAGAAGTCCAGATCCAAGAATAAATAAGGAAAGGAGGGAAGGTGGTGGGGGAGGGAGGAAAATAAAGAAAAGGAGGGGAAAAAAGGAGGGGAGTATGTAAAAAGAGAGACAGTGAGTAGATAAACTTCAGAGGGGTAGCCGAGAGTCTGTAACAGGAAAAACTTAAAAAACAAATAGTCTAGTAGCACCACAATATATTGCCTTTCTCACTGAAAAAGATCCCGTGTACTTCTTATAAGCATAAGAATGGCAGATAGAAGACTGGAGAAGACTGCCACTGTGTCAATCGAGAGCCACATTCAACTTCATTAGTTATTGGGTGTTTGGGATGTTTTACTAACCCATTGCAGATGTGCGTAAAGGTACGTCTAGACAGCACCCTGCTGTTGGAATAAGCTATGCAATTTGCATAGAAGTCCATGATCTGTCATTAGTTGGAATGGTTGACCACATGGGTCGCAAAGCTGGCTGGAGGCTATCAGATATATGTCTACCCTGAAGTCCGGCCTATCACACTCTTGTTGGGATCTTGAGTTGTGCCAAAATGGCCTCCTTTTCCCACTTCTCTGTGGAGATAAACTACTAGGCTGTGTCTAGACTGCATCCCGTTTCCGTAAAAGGAATGCAAATTAGACACATCACAATTGCAAATGAAGCGGGGGGGGATTTAAAAGGGAAAAGGCAGATAGAAGACTGGAGAAGACTGCCACTGTGTCAATCGAGAGCCACATTCAACTTCATTAGTTATTGGGTGTTTGGGATGTTTTACTAACCCATTGCAGATGTGCGTAAAGGTACGTCTAGACAGCACCCTGCTGTTGGAATAAGCTATGCAATTTGCATAGAAGTCCATGATCTGTCATTAGTTGGAATGGTTGACCACATGGGTCGCAAAGCTGGCTGGAGGCTATCAGATATATGTCTACCCTGAAGTCCGGCCTATCACACTCTTGTTGGGATCTTGAGTTGTGCCAAAATGGCCTCCTTTTCCCACTTCTCTGTGGAGATAAACTACTAGGCTGTGTCTAGACTGCATCCCGTTTCCGTAAAAGGAATGCAAATTAGACACATCACAATTGCAAATGAAGCGGGGGGGGATTTAAAAGGGAAAAGGCAGATAGAAGACTGGAGAAGACTGCCACTGTGTCAATCGAGAGCCACATTCAACTTCATTAGTTATTGGGTGTTTGGGATGTTTTACTAACCCATTGCAGATGTGCGTAAAGGTACGTCTAGACAGCACCCTGCTGTTGGAATAAGCTATGCAATTTGCATAGAAGTCCATGATCTGTCATTAGTTGGAATGGTTGACCACATGGGTCGCAAAGCTGGCTGGAGGCTATCAGATATATGTCTACCCTGAAGTCCGGCCTATCACACTCTTGTTGGGATCTTGAGTTGTGCCAAAATGGCCTCCTTTTCCCACTTCTCTGTGGAGATAAACTACTAGGCTGTGTCTAGACTGCATCCCGTTTCCGTAAAAGGAATGCAAATTAGACACATCACAATTGCAAATGAAGCGGGGGGGGATTTAAAAGGGAAAAGGGATGCAGTCTAGACACAGCCCTACAGTTGAGCTCTGCCTTATAGGTCCCATCCCCACTGAGGTGGTAGCCAAGTTCCTCTTGTGCATCCTTTCCTTCACCCTTCCCCTGCTCATCTGAGTTTTTCAGTGTTGAGTTGCAAACAGGCAATCCATGTATCGTTCTCCATCAACATCATTGCTTCCAACATGTTCTCTGATCAATCTTGCTATTACCCACTCTGTACTCCAGTGAGAAGATCTGGAGGAATTGCTCTAATAAGCTTCTCTGCTACTTGTATCCCTATCTTTTCTTTGGGCTGAGCCACCACTAACAGCATTCCGGTCCGTGCCACCCACTGCCATAAGTCAGTCGCCAAGACAAATTTCTTTCTTTAAAATCTCTGGCAGTGAGTCTCATCGGAAATACCAAAAGAATTCAGGATGGCTGACTTGAATAGGAAATAATCCTGCTCCAATGCTGCCTCTAGTCTCCAGTATGGAGTCTGGGCTCCAGTATGTCAGCTACTATGTGATAACAACCATCCTGGGTCTCCACCAGCTAACAGGCCAGCACACTGACATTTTTGAACATCACTATGCATACTTTGTACTCGTCATCTGGTCCCATTTTTGTCATCTTCAGGAGAAGATTGTGAGCTGTCTTATGGTTAACCATTCCTCCAGAAATTCAGAGGGGGAATAGCTGAGATTACAGAAGTGTCATCGCTTGCTGCATGAGCTTTTATTTCCTGTGCTGTTTAGCCAACATCCAAATAAGCTGTTGCAGTATTGGGTATCTTGCTGTTGATTCTTCACAATCCATTTTAGCAACTTGTCCAGCTCCATCTCTACATATCTTTTAATATCTTTTTCAGGCTCATGAGCCTACACTCACCTTACAGATTCTGTCAGTGTAGCCATTCCCAGCTGTGGCCTTGTGCATTAATTGCTCCCCCAGAGCTCAATTACTACAAAGGACCAGGAGTGGGAGGCAAAGTAGGGAGACCTGGGCCCAACCACTCCACCAGGATCTGAGTGCCTGAGGGGGTCTAAGTATCTAGCCCAGTTACATAGCTATCCCAAAGGAAATGACCATGCAGGAAATCCACCAGTCTGGAGTTCCTCCATTTTTTTATTTATGATTTTATATTTTCTTCCAGGTCATTGATAAAATAGTGTTTAATAGTACTGGTCCTTGCAGGACTCCACTAGAAACACACCTGCTCAGTAACCACTCCCCATTTAAAATTACACTGTGAGACCAATCAGCCAATTTTAAATCCATTTAATTTGTACTACAGGCAGTCCCCGAGTTACGCTGATCCGACTTATGTCGGATCTGCAGTTACGAACGGGGCTTTTCTCACCCCGGAGGACGCAAGCGGCGGGACGCCCAGATGCGCCACGGTCCCGCCGTCCGCGTCCTCCGGGGCGAGAAAAGCTGCTCTGCGTCTCCCTGGTCTGCTGGGGGGGGGGAG